GCAGTTTGCCGACTGCGTTTTTTACTTCCGTTTTCTTTTATTTTTATTATTTTCTCAACAATGCCGCGCAGAATGGGCGTGGCTGTTGACTGCAACGCGGCGGGCTGGTGTTGTTTGCACTTTTAAATATGTTGTTGCATAATTTGCATTGCTCGCAGTTCATTTGCATTGTTTCGAGCTCTTTAATTGCAGTTTGCATTCCTTTTTATTTTTTGGTTCCTTCGCAGAATATTTCTTAGCTAAACTACACGACTTGGCTTGTTTGGGTTACAGCTGCAGCAGCAATTAAATTGCGAAAGTGATATTTATGATGCAATATTTGTATTGAGCATAAAAGTGAAATTGTTGGAATTTAAGTCTGCTGCAAGTGCAACTGGAGTCGAGCACATCAGTATGCGGGACAACAGCAACAATCTGTTGGGTATATGGGTGTGTTGGTGCGTTTGGCAACACTTGCAAGTGCGCCCCAAAAAATGTGGTTCATGTCTTTCTTATTGTTGTTGTTGTTGTCGCTTGGGTGCTGCTTTCGCATTCGTGTCTCGGACATGAATTACGTTTACCGACAATTAATTTCAAGTGAAAATGTGCTAAAACTTTTAATTGGGCAACCAAGTGGCTGGCAGCGTCTGCAGCAAGTCGAGTTTTCGGAGCGGCAGCCATAAAAATGTCGACAACATGCCAGCAAAATTTCGCAGCCATTTTGCCGGCATTCCGCAGCAGGTGCAACGGGCCACTCTCTCTCTCTCTCTCTCACAGAAGGATGACCCCTGGCCCTGTCTACCGCCAGCCAAACTGCCAAACTAACTTTCAGCTAAGCACTCCGCAGCCGATTAGCAGGCAGCTTGAAAGCTGGCTCCAAAAGTAGCCGTACAATATACACGTTCAGTATGCGACGTATTTAATGAAACTAAAACATGCGAATATCATTTTATCCAAAATAACCTTTTGACATCCAAATGCCTTCACACGCTCTGCTTCCCCTCCTGCTCCCCCTCCTGCTCCTGCTCGTGCTCGTGCACGTGTTTACGCTGGGTAAATGCAAATTGGCATTGCGATTGGCCCTAAGGTGTTTTACCTTCTGTTTGCACTGCGTCGCTTTGTTAAATGCTGCAGCATTTTAAAATATTTGCTTATCAAATGATGCACTGACTGTAAAATCGCAGCAGCCACGCCCGCTTCAAAGCCATCAAAGTCAAACAAAACAAAGGCAACGCGAATTATGGAAGCGTACCAAACGCCGCAGCCCGCCAAGCGAAACTCCTCACTTCAAATTCTCGCCTCGACGCACAGTGTAAAATGTATTTCCATTTCCATTTCCAGCAGTTGTGCTCCTCGCTTCACCTTTTTCAGTTACGACTTCATTTTAATTAAAACCTGTGCCGGATCACAGCGTCGATGACTGGGTTGACTGGGTTGGAGACGGTGACCGCTTCCTGCTACAAGTTACATATCATCATACGCTGGAGTTCTCTAAGTTCGAGTAGAAGTAACAATAAAGATTTTCTTTATGCATGAAGTGAAATTAAATCAACATGCGAGTGAATAGTAATATTTACTTATTGAAAACTATCTGATATAATCTAAGAATGTTGTCAATTTGATGAAGATCTTAGGCGATTGTAATTGTGAATTGAATGGAATTGAGTTATAAGTGCACAAAGAAAAACTCCCTTAGCTAATTGACAAGAAGAAGTAGCAAGATGGACGATATGATTAAAGATAATTAAAATACTCTTCTCGAAGGTGTCCAAAAATAAGATACTTTATAATGTTCAAAAAGCTTTACCTGTGACTGTTATAGGATCATCTGCATTTATTAATTATATATGTAAATGTAGAGCTGGCAACTCTGCCAGATGGAGATATCGATGAGAATCTGTAGGGCTTACAGAAAGGACGGTAACAGGAACATACGATAATAGGAGTGAATGTTGGGTTCAAGCTTCTGAAGCGAAGAGACTTGCGTGTGATCTCGTTGATTATAATAAGAACGGGAATATATCATTGTACCAATAAGTAATCAAATCAAGTGCAAAAAATCCAATGTTTAACTAAAAGAAGATAGTGTGGATTTAATGGCTTCTACATATGTTAAGATTGGTTTAATGATCTTTAAAATCGGAATCTTTAAACTCAGCAAGCGGATGAGGACATCGATTTGAATCTAAGCTAAGACAAAGATACTAGAAATAGATAGAGAAACTCGGCTCGTCATATAAATAAAGATAGATTTGTATTTTCGATTGGTTCCGAGATATATTTTTGATTCATATCTAATATAACCTTTAGAACATCAGTAGAGTGGGAAGATGCCGGAACTACTAAAATCTCAATTTTCATATGTTCAACGAGTTTGAATTAAGCTCAAAGAGAGGTGAGAATGTGAGAGTTAATAGTCAGAGCTAAGCTGGTAATCCTCCTTTCAACCCTTTGCAACTATTACTCTTGATAGTTGCAACTATTGATATACTAAAAATGAAACTATAGCAATGGGGCAATTTAAAATTTCCACTCGGAATCACCCTCCTTTGAGTGCAGCTGCAGTTTGCTGTACAGTGCAGGCCGCAGCAAATGTTCAGATGCTGGCAACTGACGTCATAAATTACACAGATGCCATTAGGTAACACAAAACGAAATTTTTCAATTAAACTAAAGGCCATTTCAGATAGTGCCAATGTCATTAGCAGCCCACTAAGCGCAAACCAGACACAGTGAGAGTCCAGCTCTGGTGTTCGAATCGGGACCCCTCTTTCTCTCTCTCTTTCTCTCTCTCTCTCCCATCTCGCTGTCCCTAGCAGCACAGGTAACGCGTTGAACATAAATTAAAATCGAAGCCGGCCAATTTTATGTGCATTTAATGTAAGTCGATGAACTCTATGGCCATGAACCGGGCTCTGTTTAAATACAGCCTGCAATTTATGGGATACTCCAGCGATTTTGCGTTTATGTGGCCTCCGCTAATTGACAATTGAAAATGTTGTACATTTGCAATGCGCGGCACCCCAGAAGCGACAATTGGACAGCCAGCCATAAAGTTAATAAGCAATTTGCATAACAAATTTTCTAAAACGTTGACAACATGTCGCTGTCACCGGTACACGGGGCGCATGCTTAATGCGTGCTGCGCCAAAATGCGTATACGCCATGTGGGTCGACTGGCAGACTGGCAGACAGGCGGGCTTTTAATTGTTTTGCAGGACCAGAGCCCCAGCCCTGTTTTTTTTGACTGATTCCCACCAACCCACAATCCTCGCTGTTGCATTTTCGAAAGGAATGTACGTAATTCACTCTTGGGCTGTTAATTAGCATTCCAACAGCATTCGAGACAAGCTAGCGCGATGCACTGCCAGCCAACAAAAATGGACTTGTTTCAATCGAGCTTCTAATTTTATTAATACCTATCGGTTCTCATGTTCTATGTTCTGTGTTTTCCTCCGCATTGAACTTTGCTGAAACCCCCAACTGGTTGCAGTGTAATAATAATAAAAAAAGCTAGCCAATAGTCATGGTTGCATTTAGCGGATTTTCCAGTGCAATTAGCCGGTGTCAATTGTTCATAAGCATAGGTATGAATGTGTGAATGGCTCTGTGGAACATTAGTGGCATGTTTTGTTTTTCATGTTGCATAGAAGCACACACAGACACACACACACGAATATACACACACACTGCTAACTGCCATTTGCATCTGTTTCTACTTCCGTTGGTTGGCCACAAAAGCAGAGAGCCTATGTCAAGCGCCTCCTGCTCCTCTTCGAAATGCCCCGCTCCCTCGGGCTAGCCATCATTTGTAATTTGATGCCATGTGCACAGGCGAGGCGAGGCGGCAGCTGCCGTTAGAGCCGGCGAGGAAATGTGCCTCAAAGTATGCAACACAATTGCGGCCAGGGCCATCATAATTGCTTGCACACACACACACACACACACACGCACGCACGAGAGCACACACAGATAGAGACATTGATACGCACACACAGATGCGAGCATTTGCAATTGTATTGGACATTATATGCTCTATTATAATTAAATGATAATCAATTTGGTAAATATTTGATTTTGGAGACCGAGGAATGTAAGCTAATCAGGCGTGAATTTCGACCAGTGCATGGACAGCCGTAGGGCCAAATGCAAATACTCTAAAATAGAAGGGGAATATTTGCTCTAGGAAAATCGATAAGCGTGCGGGCTGCAGTAGAGCATAGCTAGTTGCATGTGCATGAAAAACGCCAATAAATAACATTTCTTAGCAATTTACTTGAGAAATGGGTTTTTAGCGAAGACGTCGCCAGCAACAGCAGCAGCAGCAGCAGCAGCAGCAGCCAGAGGAGGCGCATCAAGAGCAGCAGCGGCTCCTCCGCTACCAGAAAATCAATTCCCCAGCTATTTCACAGCATGTAATTTCTCAATTTTCGGTTTCGCCGTCCCAGGCAGTCTTCATTGTTTTTTTTTTTTATTTTATTTTATTTTATATTTTTTTTGGTTGGCTCGTGCTGCAAAACCCACTTAATTTTCAGCTATGGCAACATTGAGAATTCCTTGACGGCCTGGGAGCTACAATATGCTGCGACTCAGCTATTTCTATTTAAAGCTGGAGATATTTTGCTATCGTCCTCTTTTTTTTGTTATACTTAACGGCAATAATTGTGGCCATAAATTTTCTTGTTTTGGATAAAAACTGATAAGATAGACAAAACATATGCTTAAATGTTAGCATGTGCCTATACTCAAAAGTATTACTCGGAATGATTTAGTTTTTACATTAATTAAGTTAATAAGCGAAACATTTCTCATGACAGCACTGATTCGGGTTTACGAAGCTATTATTTAAGGACCATCTTCAATTCTATTCTTTAAATTCTTTTCTACATCAGCCAGATTCCTGGGGTTATTGTCATAGTTAACAGGTGTTGCAGAAAGGCAAGAGGATCGAATTATAATTATCTATCGGACATCTTACCAGGACATATTCATAAGCATGCAATTCAGGTTAAACTTGGCGATTGCTTAACAAAATAATGTCAGATTGTATTTTATTGATTGGCCTAAACGGTCTCCAATTCAAGGCCGAGTGAATTCACTTTCTCGTCGATCCAACTGCGTAGGTATGGAACGTTTGCATAGACGGCCGGTACGTCTTCCTCGGCGCAGCTAACGCCCCACGAAACGATGCCCGCCAGGCGATAGCGATCGGTCTGCCCAGGCAAGGTGCAGAACAACGGTGAGCCGCCGTCGCCCTTGCACGTGTCCTTTCCTTTGACGCCGCCAGCGCAGATGAAGCTGGGTCGCAGTCGAAATCGCCTACCCACTTGTGTGAGTCTCAGATTGCCCTGGCACTCGGCCTTGCTGACAATGGGTAAATCTATACGCTTTAGCTGCCGCTCATTCCTGTTGCTGTCCGGCAGTCGACTACCCCAACCTGTGGCATAGCACAGGGCCTCCCGTAACTCCGCCAGCAGCTTGGGCGTCTCTGGCGGAGGTAGGCAAAGCGGTTGAATGTGGGGCTGAATATCAATGGGCTCATCCAGCACCAGCAGGGCAATGTCATTGTAATGGGAACCGGGATCGAATTCCTCGTGCGCGATTATTTGCTTTATGCGGCGTGCCTGAAACTCGTATGGTTCGTCGACGCTGCTCAGATCCCAGTCACCAACTCGTGCTACCAGAGTGTCCACGGTTTGGTTCCTTATATTGTGGGCACTCGTCAGAACCAGTTGTCGATGAATCAACGTACCGCCACATAGGTACTGATTGCGTCCGGTGTGCAGCGCCACCATCCAGGGAAATTCCCCAAAGACCGCAACATCCTCTTGGTACTTAAAATCCGTGATAAGGCCCTTGGGATTGCTATGCCCGCAGCCTAGGTACTTGAAATTATTCAGATTTACAGCGTACGAGCTCTCATTGGCGGCCACCTGCATTCAGGGTGCATAATATAGCAAACAGTTACTCGAATCGAACAGGTGAAGACTTACTCGCTGGTCCACAGCACAGCAGCGATGCAGGGCTTTTGTGCACGGCTGATCGCCGAGGCGGGGATGCACAAGATAGCGACCATCATCGATAATAATGTTGTCGCGGCACAGTTTTCGTGGCACGCATTCCATGTCCTTGCCGCAGCTCTCGTAGTAGGATTCCTCGGTGGTTCTGGTTGTGGGTGTGATTGTGGCTTTCTGCGCATCCGTCCTGTTCTGCTCGGCGTCCCAGCTGTCGAGCTGCTCCTGGTCGCAGCACACAAGCCCTTCGCCGCAGACGCGCGCCATCCTTGGCCCAATCGCACCGCGTCCCGAATCGTCCGACTCGGCGCAGCGCTGTTCGGTGACGCAAATTTCCGCTAAGCCACATGGCGACATCGACCCCTCGGATTGCTGGCCATTCGTCAGCTGACTTTGAGCCACAACAACGCAGGCCAGCAGCAGCAAGTGCCAATATCGAGCGGCGTCCATCAGCTTCGCATCCAAGTGAGGCCACATGCAATACAGAGCAAAATTAAAAGGGGTTCAGTTGTAGTTGAGAGTCCAGCTGATAAGATTATGCATCACACTTATCAGAGTAAGCGCGCGCTTGCTGTGCGTAGGTTATCGATTGGGTTTAAAGGTTTCCATTTGTCAAGGGTGTCGGCTGTTGGGAGTTTCCCATTGGGGAATACCCTGTACCGACAGCCGAGCTGCCGTCGCAAACATTCTAGCTCTCCGCTATAAGTATATACTAGGTATGGATTATTAATAATTGATTAACTTCGATGTTTACAGGCCTAAATAAACTTGGATTTAAAGAGATGCATTGATGCAATTTACATTTTATCAGTCTTTCGAAGCTTGAAACTGAGAATGTCGAGAGAACAGACTTTCTTGAATTAAAAACTAATTAATCGCAAATAATACGCGTTAATATCATTTATATAACTGATGATCCACAGTTACGTGTAGGCGGAACTGCATTCCCGGTTGGTAGAAAACTTTTTGAAATTTATAATTCATATATCTATATATTTTTTGCAAAATTTATAAATGTAACTAATGTTTCTCAATATCTCGTTTGCATCTTTAGGTTTTCTGTATTTCTGCGCACTTGAGCTCACTTTCATAATAGCTTATCTTTATTTAGTATATGTACATATAAGTAACATACATATCTGTGTGCACTTGTGTTTACTGAGATTTAGTCAGAGTTCCGTTCGCGTTCAATTTCAACTGAGCTGCTTGAAGTAGAACTCATGCATTTTATAGAACCGGCTTGAAAACAATCGAATAGCCAGTCGCTCAGCAAAGCTAGAGTCGCAATAATTACTAAATATTTATAAGAGAGAACAATTAATTAGCTAGCCGAGAAAATATCAAACTAAGCTACATTCTCTTCTAGCTATTCAGACTTTAAATATTCGAGATCTCCGAGAGCGGAGACTCTTTATTTTATAGGCGGTCGATTCAGCTTATAAAACTGATGACTGAGAGATTGGAAAACTTAGTTCAATAAGTTACTTCTGGTTGAATATAACAAAAGCGATTCGCGCTTTTCGCTGTTTCGGTGCTGATTGCTTGTGTAAATATGTAAATATTTGTGAGGAGAACTGATCAATTACTTATACAAATGGGAATTGAACAAAACTCTTTATTAAACAATTATTTACCGCTTTTAAATCTACTTCACATCATTCTGAGCTTTGGACAGTTTTGAATGAAATAATAAATTAAAATTGTGTCTTTAAAAATGAATTTTACAGTTGATATTGAAATATTTTTGAAATTATTTGCGAACAGTACTAATAATCATCGGGCTGTAATAAGTTATGTGCTCAGCAAATGTTCAGAAGAAATAATTTCCGACCTCAATCTACAATATATATTCGTAAACAAGGTGACGAGCTGAGTCGATCGATATGATTGCGCCAATCCCAGAGGCCAAAGAGAGATTTGCAATTTCATAAATATATGAATATTCTCTTATATTCTTATATTTTATTGGTGCAAGATTTCTTAAAGCATAACAAATATTTGCAGAGGCTTACTTTCTGGATACCTCTCCCCGTTTTCATTGTTGATGCTAGGGTACATAAGCGAAGCCTCGTGCTTGCTATGCATAGGTTATCAATTGGGTTCAAAGGTTTCAATTGAGCAAGTAAGAGTGCTATTGTCGGGAATGCTCAAATAGGGAATACCCGGCGCCCAGCACCGAGACAATGTCACGAACATTTTAATTCTCTTCTGCGCTTACTTGGATAAACTATGTATGGGACATAAATTATTAACCTTGATGTTTATAGCGCCTTGGGAAATTCGCAGGGCTGGAATCAGCACAATAGTATAATTCTAAAAACGAATCTTTTATGAGCTTCGATATATTAGATTTGATAAAGAAACCTAATCTGAAATTTTTGATAAATTTCGCAAGATAACAGGAGCTTACGATAATTTGGTATAAACTTGGGTATAAAAAGAGGCATTCATATATTTTATTATATTTAGTTTGAAAATAACAATCTATATGTTTCTCGATATCTCGTGTGCATCATTTTTTCTGAGCACTTTAGCTGACTTTTATAAGGTTTTATTTTTATTTAGTGTCTATAAATAAATGCAGCTTACATATCTTCGTGCATTTTTGCATTAATTATTATTTATTAATTATTATAAGCATTCACGATATACCTAAGTTCACGGTCATAAAAATCACGTTAACTAGTTGATTGTTATTCGATTGGAAGAGAGTTTGGAAGAAATTCGGATTTTGCAATATACGAGAGCATGATGTGTGGTATAATTGTTAATGGGGTCATAGATTGCAGGTGTAAATTTATATGTTATTTAAATTAATTGTTTTTTTCACAATGTTGTGAATATTTCAGCGGCTTTATCCTACACCATTAATGCGCAAAATGGGACATTTGTTAGAGTTTCTCTCGCTGCTAATTGTCGTTGGCGCCTCATCAGTTTTAGGCGTATGTCAGAGCGACCAGGTTTGTATTACGGAACAACGATGCAATGAAACGGATGACTCCGGACGTGGCATACTTACTCCACGGATTTTGGGTCGCAGTTGCGGCTTCGAACTGGTTTGCTGCGATAAAGAGCAGCTGGAGAGCTATGAGGCCACCATGACTGGCCAAAGATTGAACGTCGAGCAAGAGAAACAAACTGCTGCAACAACTCAGACACAGCCCTTTGAATTTAGCCTCATGGAGGACTACAAGAGCTGTGACCTGAATAAGTTGTGCGTGCCCAGGCACCTTTGTCGAACGGGGTCTGTTAACGACGACGGGCGATATATAATCAAGCCCCGAATCGACAACTCCAGCAATTCTGGATGTTTAACATTCGAAAGTTGCTGCCCCGTCGGTGATCAGGTGAACAGTTAAATGGGAAATGGGAAAAATGCGAGCACAAATATTAATTTGATCTATTTTTTTTTGCAGCTAGATGAGAGCGAGAATCCAGTGCGCCGCTCCCTAAAAGATTTCAAGTACAAGGGATGCGGCTATAGTAATCCCGTGGGTCTCTATTATGATATGGTAGGCTACAGCGACCATGAGGCGGGATACGCCGAGTATCCTTGGATGGTGGCAGTGATGGACATGCATGCCAATTACCTGTGTGGAGGAACATTGATACATCCCCAGGTGGTGATCACCAGCGCCCACAATGTGGCCAACCACAGCTCGACCTCTCTGCTGGCCCGTGCCGGCGAATATGACTTGACCAGTCAGCGGGAGCCCCTTCCCTATCAAACCCGTCGCCTACGCAACCTTTGGCTTCACGAGCTCTTCAATGACCTGAATTTTCGTAACGACATTGGGATGATGGTGCTGGAGCAGCCCTTCGAGCTGGCACCACACGTGCAGCCGCTTTGTCTGCCGCCTGTGGAGAATCCACAGCTGCAGGAGGATCTGCTCAAGGCTAAGTGCTTTGCTATCGGCTGGGGCCATCGCCCAGATAGCGCAGAATCTATGGAGCATATTCTAAAGCGCATTGAACTGCCCGTCGTTGAGCATCAGCATTGTCAGAGTTTGCTGCGTCGCACAATTCTCGGCAGACGATATAAGTTCCACGAAAGCTTCATATGTGCTGGCGGAATTGAGGGCAAGGACACGTGCAAGGGCGACGGTGGATCGCCCTTGTTTTGCAGCATGGCTGGAGAAACCAACCGCTTCCAGCTTGTGGGCATAGTCTCTTGGGGAATTGAGTGTGCTAAGAAGGATTTTCCGGCCGCATATGCGAATGTGCCATATTTTAGAAGCTGGATTGATGAGAAAATGTCAAGAATTAATTTGAAGTAAAAGTACCATGAAAGAGAAATTAAAAATAACTTCGTTTTTATTTGTGTAAAATATGTATGCTGTGTATAAGTTTTAACAATTTTGCTGAGGGCATTGAATATTATTTTGTCTTGCCCCAAAAAAGTATCTAGTATAGGTGATGATTAGAATAGTTAAGCTCGTCATTCGGCAAGATATTTTGAAAAACATATAATTTGTACACAAATCTAAGTTTTTTGAACGATTCTTGTCATCGAGCTATATGCATTCCTATGTTGATAAGATTGGGATCATAGTTAAGCTTGTAAGTGTTTATTCAAAATATCTTAATTAACAATAAGAAATACAAGAATATATTTTGAGTTCGCGAATTTTATGAAATGTTTCAAGGCCCGGTTAAAGTCCTAAAAATATACGTTTGGCCGGGACAGTCTAATCTATGCGACTGCAGTTCACGATTTTGATTTATTATGTCATAAAATGTGTCTTTCAATATTTGGGCACCAAATTCCAACAGTGGCAAGTTGCAACAGATTGGGGTGCAACCATCGGTGCGTATACGCAATCAGTCAACCAGTCACTGACTAGGTTAGCTGCTACATATCTGCATTTATGCTTCATGTACTGTAAATTTCAGCAGTTGTCTATGTGCGACATTTTCATAGTTTTTAAACGCAACTCTCAAGGCACTGAAACAAGAAAATGCATTAAAAACGACAGGGGCTTAATATAAAAAAAAATACCTAGTTCTGGTCCTCGACGGTATTACAACAGTTCTTGATATTTTATCAAGATATCTTGACCAAACTCGTTCTTTTAATTATTTCACTAAGCTCCCCATTTACATTTCAAATCTTATTAACTTCGGACCATGATATTATATAGTTGCCATGGGAACGATCGTCCGACAATTAAGTTTCTGTATGAACAACTTTTTTGCTTCTTAAGATCTTGACCAAATCCGGCAATTTCTAGTTGACTATTATGCTTACATATGATCCAATCAATATCGCACTAATATATTGTAGGGAACAATAGTAAAAATAGAATATGTCGATGGCAAAATATTATGTTTTCCAAGATACTTTCATTAAACTGAGCATTGACAAGCTTCAGAATTATATTATTTATATTTACTATGATATTATATATATTAACTAGCGGGTATAACCCGGCCTTGCCCGTGGCACGTATGTTATAAAATCAATGTTCTCAAAAAAATTTGAAATGATTTTGAAACTGATCGGACGGTAAACAAATAACTTTCATACAAACGTTTTCCGCCAATTTACCACTGTTGCGAGTGGAATTTCCCAAATCGCTGAAAGACGCATTCATTACATTCTTATGTAGAGCTTTGAAAATAGGTTTGAAGCAAATCGGACACAATTTAAAACTTCGTACAAAAAATCTTTGAGTCGCATTCCACCCGAAAAAGTTTGGATTCTGCGAAAAGTGTGAAACACGTCGCAAATGATTTTTCTTATAGATCTCTGCAAATGAATTTGGCGCGAAACGTCACCCACCAAATCTTTGATCTCCATTTCCACCAAGGAGGAACGTATTTTTCGAAAAGTGTGAAACACCCCTTAAATGAATTTGAACAAAGATCTTTGAAAATAAGTTTGGGGCCGATCGGATGGTAAACAAAAAACTTTCATACAACCGATTTCCGCCAATTTACCACTGCTGCGGGTGGAATTTCCCAAATCGCTGAAATACGTATTTATTAACTTCTTATGTAGAGCTTTGAAAATAAGTTTGAAGCAAATCGGACACAACTTAAAACTTCGCCCAAAAAATCTTTAAATCGCATTCCCCCCGAAGAAGTTTGAAGTCTGCGAAAAGTGTGAAACACGTATCAAATGATTTTTCTTATAGATCTCTGGAAATGAATTTGAGCGCGAAACGTCACCCACCAAATCTTTGACCTCCATTTCCACCAAGGAGGAACGTATTTTT